GCCCCGATCTCCCAAAGTGCTGGGATTACAGGCGTGAGCCACCGCGTCCGGCCACAAAAATAATCAACAAGTGTGTGTGTGCTATATATTGGGCCCTACCGAACCACAAGTTATGTATAAATATAAATAGTTCATAAATCTCCATCTCTCCAGCTAGCATGCATCCTCAGCACACAGATCTCACACAGAAGCACACCATTCCTTAACCACCCTTTGCCCCCAACAGATATAACTAAGCCCCTGCACAGGCTCCCTCTCACAGTCTACACCTAATAGCACTCACAGCCCTCTTTAGTACTGCATCTCTGTTTCTCATAAAGACCACCCCCATCTTTTCTGCTTTTGCCCTCTTTACCATCTTTAAACATGCGGACCCCAGAGCGGTTCTTCCCCTGCTTTGAATCAGTTAGAGACATTAGCATGGTTGCAGGGAGCAGGGTGACGAAAGGTCTGTCCAGGGGCCAGGAAGAACGGCCCACATCAATTTGCAGGAATGCACAGCCACAGTTACCTGGGGACAAAAGGTTGAGAGAAGGTTAAGAGGGATGAGACATCTGAAGACAAAGGAATAGGGTGGAAGGAGGTCACTTCTCTACTTCACAGCTAGTTGAAAGCCAGAAAGGTTTATCGATATGTGGAGTCCCACAGGGAGCCAGTAACTGGAGTGGAATGAGACTCCAGTCCACTAAATACCAATGTCACACAATCACCATGTTCCTTCCAGCCAGAACCCTTCCCCTGATTCAAGAGACTTGTTGCTTCTCTGTCCTCTGGCCCTGGTAGAGAGCGCTAAATTCTGTCTCTTTTAATTCCTTGCTAGGGAGCCTGACATCTCTCTGTCCTGACGAAACAGACCAGTGGACTTGACAGTTTCAGATTCCAGAGAATTCTAAGGTCAATCTTCTCAATCCATAAACTCCTATTCAGCCTTCTTGGATTATCCTTGCACAGTTCATCTCTCCAGCATCCTCCTGACACTGACATTTACAGGTGTATGCAGGTTCTATTTGTTGTGATTTATTTTTATTTTTTGTGAGACAGGGTCTCACTGTTGCCCAGGCTGGAGTGCAGTGGCATTATCCCAGCTCACTGCAGCCTCAACCTCCTGGGCTCAGATGATCCTTCTACCTCAGCTTCTCATGTAACTGGGACTACAGGTGTGCACGATCACACCTGGCTAATTTTTGAACTTTTAGTAGAGATGGCATTTTGCCATGTTGCCCAGGCTGATCTCAAACTCCTGGGTTCAAGGGATCCTCCCACCTTGGCCTCCCAAAGTGTTGGGATTACAGACATGAGCCATTGTGCCTGGCCGGGATTTATAATTACCTCAGTGTCCTAAGGTTTTACCCAAACCACTAAGATCAAAGCATGGTAGTTATGTTGCATAATTTGAGGAGCACCATTCACATTGTATTCTACGTGAATAGAGCCCTTGGAGTTCTCCACACAGATCTGCTCCAAGGGCAAGGGCCACATTTCCGTTTGACACCCAGGTAAAACTTATTCCATAAAGGCTGCTCAGCCAGAATGAACTGAGACACGCTAGTGGAGTAGTTAGAGGGGACTATCATTCCTGTGTTCTTCCTCAGAGATTCCTAGGCCACAGAGAACTCACCCACATCAATGTAGCCAATGGGCACTGCCCTCTCCAGCTGTAGTTCTACTTTCAGTTGCCCACTCTTGTCCTGAGGGCAGCTGAGCCAAGGTCTCCTTGGATTATCTGGGTTTAGCAAGTTCTCTACAGGATACCTGGGATCCTAAGTAAGAGAGGAGGAGAAAATCAGGAATCTCACTGAGCCCAAGGGAAAAAGGATGCCCACAAATGAGGGGTCCCTAAAACTCCAAACCGTCCCAGTCATCCTAACATGATAGACAAGGCACTAGATGGGAGGCCATAGGAATTCTGTTATCATGTGCCAAGTGGTTTACAGGTATCATTCTTCTCTATCTCATTTACCAGATGACCTCCTTTAATCTTCACAACAATTCTTAGGTGGTTACTATTATTACTTCCAAGTTAACAGATCAGTACTGAAGCTGAGAGGTTCAGAAACTTACTGAAGGCCATAGGCTCAATAACCAAGCAAAGCAGAATTCCCAGGTTTCTGAAAGCAGAGCTCTTTTTTTTTTTTTTTTTTCTGAGACAAGAGTCTCACTCTGTCACCCAGGCTGGAGTGCAGTGACACAATCTCAGCTCAATGCAACCTCTGCCTCCTGAATTTAAGCAATTCTCTGCCTCAGCCACCTGAGTAGCTGGGATTACAGGTGCTCACCACCATGACTGGCTAATTTTTTGTGTTTTTAGTAGAGACGGGGTTTCACCATTTTGGCCAGGCTGTTCTTGAACTCCTGACCTCGTGATCCACCCACCACGGCCTCCCAAAGTGCTGGGATTATAGGTGTGAGCCACCGCGCCCAGCCAAAAGCAGAGCTTTTTTTTTTTTTTTCGAGACAGTCTCACTCTGTTGCCCAGGCTGGAGTGCAGCGGCGTGATCTCAGCTCACTGCAAGCTCCGCCTCCCGGGTTCATGCCATTCTCCTGCCTCAGTCTCCCCAGTAGCTGGGACTACAGGCGACCGCCACCACACCTGGCTAAAGTTTTTTGGTACTTTTAGTAGAGATGAGGTTTCACATGTTAGCCAGGATGATCTCAATCTCCTGACCTTGTGATCTGCCCGCCTAGGCCTCTGAAAGTGCTGGGATTACGGGTGTGAGACACCGCGCCCGGCCTAAAAGCAGAGCTCTTAACCACCATGATACGCTATTTCATTTATAAGATTTTTTTTTTTTTGAGATGGAATTTTGCTCTTGTTGCCTAGGCTGGAGTGCAGTGGCGTGATCTCTGCTCACTGCAACCTCTGCCTCCCGGGTTCAAGCAATTCTCCCGCTTCAGCCTCCCGAGTAGCTGCGATTACAGGCATGTACCACCACCCTTGGCTAATTTTGTATTTTTAGTAGAGATGGGGTTTCTCCATGTTGGTCAGGCTGGTCTCGAACTCCCGACCTCAGGTGATCTGCCCACCTCGGACTCCCAAAGTGCTGGGATTACAGGCGTGAGCCACCGAGCCCAGCCAAGATGTTTTCAAGGACATTTATTTATCTTTATAGTTATTCTGTGGGATAAGAAAGTCAAATATTTTTATTCTAAGTTTATAACTGATGCTTAGATATAAAGTGATTAATCAAAATCAATAATAATGATATTGAGATATTAAATTATGAGTTCTAACCTAAAGTCAGATATTTTTTGGTTGACAGATCTTGAGTAAACTACTTTCTCTCTCTGGGTCTAAATTTCTTTCCTTCTGTAATCCCAGCTACTTGGGGGCCAAGGCAGGAGAATCGCTTGAGACTGGGAGGCGGAAGTTGCAGTCAGCCGAGACTGGGCCACTGTATTCCAGCCTGGGCAACAGAGTGAGACCCTATATCAAACAAACAAACAAACAAATTTCTTCTTTTTTTTTTTTTTTTTTTTTTTAGAGACAGGGTCTTGCCCAGGGTGGAGTACAGTGATACAATCATGGCTCGCTGCAGCCTCAAATCCCTGCAAAGATCACTTGAGTGATCCCCCTGCCTCTGCCTCCTAAGTGAGTAGCTGGGACTACAGGTGTATGCCACTGCACCTAGTTAATTTGTATTTTTAATTGAGACAGGGTCTTGCTCATTGCCCAGGGTACAGTGCAGTGGCACAATCGCAGCTCACTGTAGCCTTAACTTCCCAGGCTCAGGAACCTCCCACCTCAGTCTCCTGAGGAGGTGGGCTACAGGTGCATGCCACCACACCCGACTAACTTTTGTATTTTTTGTAGAGATGGGGCTTCACCATGTTTCCCAGGCTGGTCTTGAACTCCTGGGCTCAAGCAATCTGCTCACCTCAGCCTCCCAAAGTGCTGGGATTACAGCTGTGAGCCACCGCACCTGGCTATTTGAAATTTTTTTGTAGAGATGGGATCTTGTTACATTGCTCAGGTTGGTCTCCAACCCCGGCCTCAAGCTATCCTTCCACCTCAACCTCCCAAAGTGTTGGGATTACAGGTATGAGCCCTGTAATCTAAATGTGTTCATCCATAAGTGAAAGAGAGAGACCAGACTCATGGTTTTCAACCTTTTCTGTTTTAGCAATAAAACCCTTTTAACTGAAATCTTACACTGGTGTGTGTGTGTGTGTGCACATGCACATGTGCATATTTTTTTGATAAATAAAAGGAGAGCTCTGGTTAGAGCACAGGTAGGGAGGACTAAGGACATACTTGTCCCCTTCTCCCTTTCCACTTCCAGAAGTGGGTCTCTCTACAGAGTACAGCTGAAAACACAAAGTTTGAAACTAGCTAATGTTCTCTAGCATTTTATAAGGCTAAGAGTCTATGAAGCAGTCGGGTGTGGTGGCTCACGCCTGTAATCTCAGCACTCTGGGAGGCCAAGGCAGGAAGATCATGAGGTCAGGAGTTTGAGACCAGCCTGGCCAACATAGTGAAACCCTATCTCTACTAAAAACACAAAAATTAGCTGGGCATGGTGGCATGTGCCTATAGTCCCAGCTACTCAGGAGACTGAGGCGGGAGAATCACTTGAACTCAGGAGGCAGAGGTTGTGAAGAGCCAAGATCACACCACTGCAGTCCAGCCTGGGCAACAGAGCGAGATTCCGTCTAAAAAAAATAAAAAGTCTATGAAGCAAATTGTTTAGCCTGACCATGCAGGTAAGGAGGGTAAGTGTAATACTATTTTTCTTAGAATACGGGTTAATATATTAGTTCCTAAAGATCCTCTAAGGGTCTTTTCTTTTTCCTTTTTTTTGATACAGGGTCTTGCTCTGTCACCCAGGCAGGAGTGCAGTGGCACAATCATGGCTCACTGTTAGCCTCAACCTCCTGGGCTCAAGTAATTCTCCCACCATGGCTTCCTGAGTAGCCGGGTCCACAGGCACATGTTCTCACACAGGGCTAATTTTTAATTTTTTGTGGAAATGGGATCTCCCTGTGTTGCTCAGGCTGGTCTTGAAGTCTTGGGCTCAAGAGATCCTCCTGCCTTACGCTCCCAAAGTGCTGGAATTACAGGCATGAGTCCCATGCCTGGTCTAAGGATCTCCCTGAAATGTGTGGGCATGTTTTTGACTGTCACAATGACTAAGACGCCTGGGGGCCAGGGATGCTAAATATCTCATCATGCAAAAGATATTGCTACAAAATACAGACTTATGGCCCCAAATGCCAATGGCACCCCTTGAGAAAGACCAGGATAACAGAAGAGGAAGAGGGCGAGTAGGAGTAAATAGAGCAGTGACAGGAGAGGAAAGGGTGGGAAGTCCCTAAGAATCACCACATCAGATCAGGCCTGGTCTCAGGGCCTAGAATCTAGCCCTAATTGGGATATTGTAGAACTTTCAGGAAGGAGGCTGAGATCACACTTGATGGTGGTGGTGATATCCTCACAAGTCTGGGATTACCTCAAGTGCCCTGCCCTGTTCTCAATGATAGAATGATCGAACTCCCCTTCTGAGGATCCTGGTGCAGTTTCTGGTCTTACAGCTTTGCCAGAGCCCTTCAAACTGGCTGGAATCCTGAGGGTGCTGCTTTGTGTACTTTCAACTTCTGAGAATACTTCTTTTGCGCTTCCTGCACTTCTGTGGGAACAACCTGAGGGCAAGAGCTGTTTCTTCTCTTAGACTCTGAACTCACAATGTCTCTTCTGTTAGATTGGGAGTTTCCTGAAAGTGGAGCCAAGACTCCTGTTTTTTCACTCCTTTCAGTTATCAAGAAAACAAATCATGCCTGCTGATTAATATACCTGAGAAGAAAATGATACCACATGGCTGATCTTCACAGGAGCCATGGTGGCCCAGCAGCTGTTTCAAGTACAAGGCAAAAATGCTTCCTCCCAAGATTTCTTCTGTCACTACTTTGGCACTGACTATGTGTTAGCTTCCAGAAAAGCAAGAATCCTCATATCACTCCTGAAAAAGAGAACAGAAGAAAAACAAACTAGCCGTGCCTGTGATAACAGGAGTTATTTGCAGCAGTCAGTTCATTTCTTTATTTTTTTTTTTTGGGACAGAGTCTCACTCTGTCACCCAGGCTGGAGTGCAGTGGTGCGATCTTGGCTCACTGCAAGTGTTGCCTCCCAGGTTTATGCCATTCTCCTGCCTCAGCCTCTCAAGTAGCCAGGATTACAGGCACATGCCACCACGCCCGGCTAATTTTTTATACTTTAAGTAGAGACGGAGTTTCACTGTGTTAGCCAGGATGGTCTCGATTTCCTGACCTCGTGATCCACCAGCCTCGGCCTCCCGAAGTGTTGGGATTACAGGTGTGAGCCACTGCACCCGGCCGAGTTAGTCCATGACCAACATGGGCCTGGTGGGAGTGGTGGCAGGGAGTAGGTTTGGATCAGCTGATGAGGCTCCGAAAAACACAAAATAACTCGAATGCAACCAGAAGGCAACACAGCAGCAAGTGCAAAATAATGTATTAAGATGTTAATGTTGGATTTGTATATACGTGAGCTCTCAAGGGCATGAATTGTGCCTTAAATTATACACCTTTATATCACTAGAGCCTAGTACATGGTAAGGATAGGCAACACATGTTCAACAAAATATATGACACAACTTTTTTTCTTCTTCTCCTAAAATGAATCTTCCTACATTTAGCTTTTCATGAAGTTATTCCTCTACTAGACATCTTCAAAGACTTGCTGATTTATGCAAAACCCTTGGTAAGCTGGGTGTGGTGACATGTGCCTGTATTCCTAACTACTCAGGAGACTGAGGCAGGAAGATCACTTGAGCCCAGGAGTTGGAGGCTGCAGTGAGCCATGATGGTGCCACTGTATTCCAGCCTGGATGACAGAGTGAGACCCTAACTCTAAAAAAAAAAGTTCACATGGGTATTTGTACTTTGTGTTTTGCTAAACATTTTAGGTAAATTTTTAAATATATGCAAAAACACACGTATTAGTATAATGAACTCATGCATCCATCACCTTGCTTCAACAATTCCTTGCTGAGAGGAGTTTTAAAGTTGTCTGAATGTCTTTAGGTGGAATATCTTCAAATATTTAACCCTGTCTATTTTATTCATGTTTATTACCCATCTGGCTCCTGAAAATATGAGTCCATGACTCTTGATATACTCCTGGCCATAATGGTCTTTTTGCTTACCCTCCCCACCAAAAGTTTTTTTCCCTTTTCTCCAAGATTTTGCTCATGCCATTGCCTATGATTGGAATGTTCTTTCTCTTTCCCATTTACCAAATCTAATGCATCTTTGGTGCTCAAATGTCACCTCTCCTCTGCTGAAACACCTTAAGGTGACAGCTCCATCCTGTCAATCCTCACTTAGCCTTTAACAGAGTGCCTCATATTACAATTATATGGGATATGTCTTCTTTGTCCCTTGACAAATTGTAAGCTCTTGGGGGACAGGTTTCATGTCTGATTCATTTCTGTGTACCCAATGTAAACGGGAGAATATAGTTCCTGATTTGCAAATGTCTGTTGAATGAATGACCATAAAAATTGTGCTCCAAAGGGCTCACAGTCATAAAGGATTCAAAGTGGGGTAGATTGTAGCAATAGCAGTAACAAACTCTTAGTGAATGCCATTCAAACATCAAGCACTCCTCACAGGCCACAGCCAATATGGGGCTAAGGCTTCAAAGACAGAAGAATGAAAAATGAGTCCTGAGTCTCCTCTCTAGGGCTCAGATTAATTAAAGCTCACTATTCCCACTACGGGAACTCACTGGGCACACAAATATCTTTCCTTCTTTCTGCTAGATTTTGGAGATATAAAAATAATAAAAATAAGTAAGATATAGCCTCTGTTTTGAAGAAACTCACAGTATATTTTTGTGATTTGATGCAAAAAACTCCACCATCTCTCATCGTCAATGAACACTCAGGCCAGGCATGGTGGCTCACGCCTGTAATCCCCGCACATTGAGAAGCTGAGGACGGTGGATATCTTAAGCCCAGGAGTTCAAGATCAGCCTGGACAACATGGCGAAATCTCATCTCTACAAAAAAAAAAAAAAAAATTAGCCAGATATGGTGGCGTGTGCCTGGAGCCCAAGCTACTCAGGAGACCGAGGCAGGAGAATTGCTTGAGCTTGGGAGGCAGAGGTTACAGTGAGCTGAGATCGCACCATCACACTCCAGCCTAGGAGACAGTGAAACCCTCTCTCAAAAATAAATAAATACATAAATAAATAAACACTCTTGATTTGGCAATTCCAACAATCAAACTGCTTGTAGTTCTCACAAGATTAAGTTCTTTGAGAACTCCTTCCCTTACAAAAACTGTTGCTGCCATTTTTTGGTAATTACTTGTTTACCCTGTGTGCCTCCTTACTAAGTAGTAAGCTCTTTGAGGATGTGGATTTTTGTCATGTTCATGATCTCCCACACTTCAGAGCAGCATCATGATTCTGTCAGAAGCAATAAAGTAATAAATGATGCTCAGGAAATTGGTTGACAATGAGAAGAAAAACAAAAGTAGATCCCTACCTCACAACATATTTAAAAAATTATACCTAGGCTGGGCATGGTGGCTCACACCTGTAATCCCAGCATTTTGGGAGGTCGAGGTGGGTGGATCACTTGAGGTCAGGAGTTTGACACCAGCCTGGCCAACACGGTGAAACCCTATTTCTACTCAAAATACAAAAATTAGCTGGGTGTGGTGGCACATGCCTGTAATCCCAGCTACTAGGGAGGCTGAAGCAGGAGAATTGCTTGAACCTGGGAGGCAAAGGTTGTAGTGAGCCAAGATCACCCCTCTGCATTCCAGCGTGGGTGACAAAGTGAGATTCTGTCTCAAAAAATGAAATAAAATAAAACAAAATAAAATAAAGACAAATAATTATACCTAAAAGACTGGGTACAGTGGCTCACACCTGTAATCTCATCACTTTGGGAGGCAGAGGCTCAGGAGGATTGCTTGAACCCAGGAGTTCAAGACCAGCAACATAGTGGGACCCGATCTCTACAAAATATTTAAAATATTAGCCAGGTGTGGTGGCACATGCCTATAGTCCCAGGTACTCAGAAGGCTGAGGTGGGAGAATTGCTTGAGCCTGGGAGATGGAGGCTACAGTGAGCAGTTATCACGCCACTGCAGTCCACCTGGGTGACAGAGCCAGACCCTGTATCACTCAGGTTGGGCACAGTGGTTCACACCTGTAATCCCAGCACTTTGGGAGGCCGAGGCAGGTGGATCACTTGAGGTCAGGAGTTCGAGACCATGGCCAGTATGGCGAAACCCCGTGTCTACTAAAAATACAAAAATTATCCGGGCGTGGTGGCGTGTCCGTAGTCCCAGTTACTCGGGAGACTGAGAGACGAGAATCATCTGAACCCAGGAGGCGGAGGCTGCAGGGAGCCCAGATTGAACCACTGCATTCCAGCCTTGGTAACAGAGCAAGACACCGTCTCAAAGAAAAAAAAAAGCACTTGGATTAAAAAACAAAATGAAACACAATATAATACTGTATAGTCATGGCTACATATAATTTTTAAAAATGGATTGGGAGAACACAAGCTAATTCTAATCCATAATAGTTGCTTCTGGAGAAGATGAGAGGGTAATGGGCTTGAGAGTAGAAAAAACAGGTAAGTTTAACTTTTATTGTATTACCTAGCTTTTAAAAAATGAGTAAGCAAATAAATCATAAGGCCAATAGTCAATTTAGGGTGATGGGTGTACGGTGTTTATAACATTCTCCGTATTAAGTTTCACAAAATGAAAATAATTATTTTTATTTTAAGTACATGAGATGCCTGTAGATGATGTAAATAATTCCCTGTAATTTTCTGTTGGTCCCAATATAAAGCTGACTTTTCTAGACGTTCTGTGGACTCACAAGCCATCCTAGTTCCATTCACCAGACAGATCCAGGCGGACGCCCAGAGGCGTGTGCACTGGGGCTACAGGCTTGCAAGGTATCGAGTTCACATGCTGCTGAAAAATCAGTTACGAAGGCATACGTAGGGGTGGGGCAGTATGGTGTACAAAAACGAGGGTACGGCAGAAGCGGGGACCGCAGGATGTGGGTTAGAAAAGTGTGCAGGAATGTATGAATTGGCATGACAGCCTAACTAAGACGCGGAATGTGGGGGCCGTGGAGGTCCCGCGAGGCTCTTCAGCTCCCAGTTTCTGGAGCTCAAGCCGTACCTCTGCTTTCACTGTTCATCGGGAACAGGCTGCTCCGTTCATTTCCTTGATGGCCACCCCTCCTCCCTCTCGGCCACTCCCCTCCCCATCAACAAATCCCAAAGCCCCTCACCCGGGACCGTGCACCTCGCGGAGCCACCGTTGCCTCAGATCGTGGACCACCAACCTATTCTCCCGCCAATTCGGCCCTCTAACCTTCGCCTTCTGACCCCGAGAGCTACTCTTCCGCTTTCCGTAGCACAGGAATGCGTCCTGGGCCTCAAGAAGCTGCTGTTTTTGAAAATGACTCCTACCGAGGCAAGACGGCAGGTGCTGCAGCCAGGAAAATACATTTGCGTGTGTTTTAATGTTTATTTTCACTCACTACAACTCTTTCTCGTGGAGGGAGCGGAATTTAAACTTCCGGGTCAGCCTCAGTGCAGTTTGGGAAACGTAGTTCCTAGTCCCCACGTCTCGCTCCTTGGAGGCCACACTGAGGGAGCGTCGCGAAAGTTGCCCGTTTAGGAACTCTCTCATTTGGCTCTGCAAAGGGAAGAATTGGTTAAATAGTTCCACTGAAAATAATGCGATTCAAATTTCTCATTTTCCAAGAACGCTCCCTTCCTGAAGCTTGGAAGGGCACGGGACTCCTCTCTCCTTGATCCTGAAACGTGCATCAGGTAGATAACCTCCTGATGCCTGACAGTCTCCGCCTGTTTTGATGCCCCGCCCCCTCTGCTGGAGTCCGAGCCGCCGATTGGCTAGGAGCACTTGAACGGCGGAAGCAGCTGGCTCGCGCGGGGACTGCGGTGAGGGGGCGAGCCGTGAAGATGGCGGCAGTGGTGGAGGTGGAGGTTGGAGGTGGTGCTGCTGGGGAACGGGAGCTGGATGAGGTAAGCGGAGTTGAGAGACGAGGAGAGACTCAGCCTGAGACTGAGAGGAGGGGCAGTGAGGTATCGGGAGGTGGGGGTCTTAGGAGAGACGGGAAAGATCCTGAGAGGGAAGGAGCTGACTAGGGGGCGGGTGCGTGGAGAGGGAAGTCAGAGGCACTCCTGACTTGGGGACTCCGAGGCGGCCTTGGGAGTAGAAGACTTGCATTAGCTTCAAGGTTGGAGATGGAGGACAGAGAGAGAGGTCGGAGGGGTGGGGGTGTTAAGATTTTGTGATTACTAGCTGGGGGTCTTAGGGTAGGACCGAAGGGCTAAGAGGTAGTTTGAGTTGGAGAGGCGTGAATTTCTTCAAGGGCTTCCTCTGTGGGAGAGGACTCTGTCTAAGCCTAGGATGGGGGTTGGGGACACAGACCTGGAAAGAGTGCTAATCCACTAGTAGTATAGCTTTGAGTTATCTTAAAGTTGGATATGTTTTGTTTATCCTTACATTCTAAGACTTTGTATCTAATGTACGCTCAGTAAAGTTTTCGTCAACGAATGAAGGAACAAGTGGATGAATAAATGATTGTATTCCGGAGTTCATACATTTATTCACTTAATAAACATTATGACTTTTGCTCCGGATCCTGGGCCAGGTGCTAGGGAGACAAGGGGCTCCTCTGTTGAAGAGCCCACAATCTAGTGGTGGGAGACAGACAAGAATAGTCATTGCATTAAAGATATAATGGTGGCACTGAGAAGTGTGTAACAGTTCAGCTTGGGATAGGGAAGGCTTCCCGGAGTTGCTGAGTTTTAAACGATAAATAAGTGTCTCTCTCTCTCCCTCTAGACTTATGAGTTCCTTGAAGGTGAGCTCCTTGAGATTGTATGTTCCCTTTACCTATCTAATAGGCATTTAAAGACTCGGATATTAAATTACCAGTGGTCCTTGAAGGAATCACTAGGAGAAAGGAGATGTTGAGTGTGAAAGGAGTGAAGGGACAGGGCAGAGAAGCAGAGAGAGAGGTGAAAAAGGAAAATGAAAAGATTTTGAAGCCAGAGGCATTGAGATCTAGTGGTGTTTGTGATCCTGCACATGCCAGCATACGGACAGAGACATCACAGGAGTAGGAGGAAGGGGATTGGTTGTCAGAGATAGAACCAGGGAGATCTCTGAGGGATCAGAATCTTAGAGGCCCCTTGCTGTGTGTTGGGTGTGGGAAGAGTGGGGAGGATTGGGGATGATTGAAGATGAGGTTCAGAGAAAGGGAGAAGTGGACTTGGGAAGCACTAAGACTTGTCTGGTAGTGGGATGGGTTGGAGGAGTTGGGTTACCTGATTGAGATCATTAAGATGGGAGGAAGGGACTGAGAAATTGGCAGGTGATCACAGCAGGGGAATTTTTAAAGAAGTGTTGTAGTCTTCTGCCTCCCAATCACTGGAGACTATAGGTGTTTGGATATCGGTTGGTTGGTTAGGTGAAGTGGTTGTGGAAATGACCTCTAAGACCCCTTCTGGCTTTTACATTTCTATGATTACAGTTGGCTGTGGTTCATTGAGATATATTTGAAGACACTTTGGAAAGGGTAGATACTGCATTGAAGTTCTTATTTATGGTTTGTTAGTCATGGGCTCTCCCTTGAGACAATTATGTGTATCTCAAAGCTTTAGTTGTGTATGTCAGGGTTCATTGAGATAAAGAGCAGTTTTGGCAGAGGAGAAAATAACATTTTCTTTCTTTTCTTTTCTTTTCATTTGAGATGGAGTTTTGCTCTTGTTGCCCAGGCTGGAGTGCAGTGGTGCAATCTTGGCTCACCACAACCTCTGCCTTCTGGGTTCAAACGATTCTCCTGCCTCAGCCTCCTCAATAGCTGGAATCACAGGCATGCACCACCATGCCCGGCTAATTTTTTGTATTTTTAGTAGAGACAGGGTTTTCCCATGTTGATCAGGCTGGCCTTGAACTCCCAACCTCAGGTGATCCGCCCACCTCGGCCTCCCAGATGTGCTCAGATTACAGGTGTGAGCCACTGTGTCAGTCTACTCCTGGAGCTAGTGATTTCCTCCTCAGAGGGGAGGCTAACCAACCTCTGAAAGGAATTAGATGCACCCTTTGGGCACAGAAAGCTAACTTGGGAATTAAGGTAGAAAAGCACTTCAATACCCAATAGGGCCAGCCAGGGCATTGCCTGGCTAGTGACTGTGAATCTGGATGTGTCCACTCCCAAGTCCTATTTATTTACCAAAATGATATGAAATCATGCAGATTCAGTGAGCAGTTTCTAGCTCAAGCCAGAGTTCAAAGCAGGTATCCCAGCCTGCAGCTAACTTGAGGTATTAATATTATTGCCTCAGGTGAATAATTTATCTCTCTTTGGCCCTGTTTTACTCTTGTTAAAAGAGGAGATTGGACTAGGTTGGTGTTTTTTTTTTTTTTTGAGACGAAGTCTTGCTCTGTCGCCCAGGCTGGAGTGCAGTGGCCGGATCTCAGCTCACTGCAAGCTCCGCCTCCCGGGTTTACACCATTCTCCTGCCTTAGCCTCCCGAGTAGCTGGGACTACAGGCGCCCGCTACCTCGCCCGGCTAGTTTTTTTGTATTTTTTAGTAGAGACGGGGTTTCACCGTATTAGCCAGGATGGTCTCTATCTCCTGACCTCGTGATCCACCTGTCTCGGCCTCCCAAAGTGCTGGGATTACAGGCGTGAGCCCCCGCACCCGGCCTAGATTGGTGGTTTTTAAACCTTTATTTAGTCATGAATCCTTTTATTCAAACAAAATCTCACTCTGAAGCCTTGTGGTCCTTGAATGGATTCAACAGAACCCCTAAGGTGCTTGAAGCCACCCTTTGAAAACCAAGGATTTTTCTGTTATAGTCCACTGATTGGGTAACCCCACTTTTTAAATTTTTAAAAAAATTTTTTTATTTTTTTGAGATGGAGTCTTGCTCTGTCGCCCAGGTTGGAGTGCGGTGGCGCGATCTCGGCTCACTGCAAGCTCCGCCTCCCGGGTTTACGCCATTCTCCTACCTCAGCCTTCCTAGCAGCTGGGACTACAGGTGCCCGCCTTTTTGTATTTTTAGTAGAGACGGGGTTTCACCGTGTTAGCCAGGATGGTCTCGATCTCCTGACCTCGTGATCCACCCACCTCGGCCTCCCAAAGTGCTGAGATTACAGGTGTGAGCCCCCGTGCCCAGCCTGGGTGACCCCACTTTATGTTCCTTCAGCCTACTTGTACTTTGCCTAAGCCAGCCCCACCAAGCATTATAAAATTGTCTGCCTTCCCCACTAGACTGTAAGCTTCGTGAGAGAGCAGAGTCCAAGTGTATCTTGCTCACCATTGTATTCTCTTCACTCAGTATGTTCCTGGCATACAGTAGGCACCCAATAAGTATTTGATAATCATTATTTTTGATTAGTAGTATGATAGCTACCATTTAGTGGATGTTTGTGATATGCCAGCTCTTCTGCCTAATGGTATATGCTTTTTTATTAAATGTTTATGACATCCCCATGAGAATTGAATTATTGGATGAAATCGTCTCTAGCTCTTTCTGGCTGTAGCACTCTATGTACTGTTTCTAATTACTGCCAGGCTTTGTTGGTGCTGTCCAGTCTGCCTAGAATGCCTTTCTTTTCCCTTATTGCCTTTTGAAATTCCACCTGCCCCTTAAAGTTCTAGCTCCCTTGGCTTCTTGGACTCTTCTGATCTACACTAATACCTTTTCCCCTTGCCTTTTATTGTTTTCTCTGTTTAAGTTTGTTCCCTCATTTCTCAACTTAGTCCTCAAACTTCTGAAACATTTGTGTGCCAGGCACTTTGGTGTGCCTGATAATACCAAGATGGATAAAGTGTGATAATTGCCCTCAGAGAGTTCACAGACTGGTATGAGTAGAGAAAGAGTGATAAGTACATGCAAAATATGTCACAGATACTGTGATAGTGAGGGGGGTGCGGTAGGTACATCAAGGAGGAAGTGGCAGTCAGTGTTACATCTCCTTTTCCCAAATAAGTTGGTAAACCCCCAGCGGGCAGACTGTGGAAGTTCCCATCCCTTGCTTCTTCAAGCAGTAATCACTGGGTTTTTGTTTGTTCTTTCACCTGTGGCTCTCTCCCTATAGACATTTAGTAAATATACCTTGTTGCCAGGGATTTTCTTCTCTAGAGATTTTTGGTCCAAGCCAATATCTTACTGAGGGATCAAGGAATATGTGATTGAAGTTTAGTCTGGATATCTGACTACCTCTGGATTTTTTTAGGCATGTAAAGTGAGTGGTGGCAAGTGTAGTGGGGAAAAAGCCATAAGGTAGTAAACAGTGGACTCATATTCTAGACTAGTAATAGCAGATTTGTTTTATCTCAGTGACAGCACCTGATCATAGATACTTAGAAGCCTGTGTTGAGAAGGGTTCTGAAGCCAGGGCTTAGCAGAAAAGAGTGCTGAGGGTGAAATAATACAGATTACTTATTCTGTGCCTAGTCCTGTGCCAAGTGTTTTAAATGCATTCTTTTTTTTTTTTAGACAGTCTCACTCTGTCACTCAGGCTGGAGTGCAGT